CAGTGGTTACTAGTTACTGAAAAACAGAAAGACATTAAAACAGCGGTGAAGGTCAGAGCGAATCTCAATGGAAGGGAAAGGCTAATACATTTTCATTTGCTACAAACTTGTATTTTTTTCAGCTGCTACACAAGTAGACAAGGAAACCTCCTCATTTAATACATGGAAATCTGATTATGCTTAACAGTTGTTCTTAGCCTTTTTGAATCCATTTTTTCTGTCCCTTTGTTAAGTGTCTGATCACCTTTATTGTGTCCATTTTAACAAATGCCTTTTTGTATCAGTCTATATTTGTGCATAAGGATGCTTTTGTAACCGTTGCTCTGTATTTTTTTTTAAGCAGTCTACACAGTGGTGTCACTGGGTTTTAGAGGCTGTCTATATTCAGAGCTGCTCTGTTTCTCTGTCAGCTTTTTTTTTCAGACACAACAGCTCATTGTACAGTCGTAAAAGAGAGAAACCGTCATAAAAAAAAAATTATTATTCATTTTTACCCCCATATAAAAAATAAATTCAACAGTAAATATGGGAGACTTTGTATATTCTGGAAAAGATAACGTTTGTTTTACCAGAAATTAACTCTGGCAGATATATTCTTCTAAATTTTTTGCAAATTTCCGCAAACTATGTTAAAAATATATTATTCTTAACCCTTTATAGGGCAAGTTACCATTTGTGATCACTTGAATAACCCTTACAAAAGAAGTCCCCCCCCATCCCTCATATGCAGCCAGTCAGCAAAGATACTTCTGCGTGACGGTACATGTTATTTTGGCATTTCACCAATTAGATGAGCCCTTGAATCATAATTATATATTTTCGACTATATATTATCTACTATAATTTAAGTTGAAAAAAAAGTTGACAAGTCAAGAAAAAAAGGTAGAAAAATAAATGAAAAAGTTAAAAGCTAATTGAAGTCTTAAAAAGTGATGCTAAACTAAGTCGAAAAGCAAATTTGTAAGTTCCTCTATCAGCATGAAACTCTAAGGTTATGTTGTAACAAAAAAAAGTTTCTTTCACTCTGTGTTTTTCATAAATTTCTTTAAAAAGTGCTTTTATTTTTGTTAATATATTAGAGCAAGTGGCAATTTCTTGTTATCACGTTGACCTTCATTTTTGCCATCAAATATACACACAGTGGAAAAACGATCTAGAAATAAGTAAATATTTCTTAAATTAAATGCATTTACCCTTAATTTGATTAGGTAAATGAGATGATTTGCCAATGGAATGAGTATTTTCCCTCTTAAAATAAGATATTTAGATAAAATGCTCTTGAAATAAGACAATGCAATTGTTTTTTCTTATTTTAAATGTAAATTGTTTTGTTCCATTGGCAAATGTCTCCTTTACCTTCTCAATTCAAGAACAAATGCACTTAATTTAAGAAATAATGACTTATCTAGATTTTGATTTTTTTCCAGTGTATTTTTGAATGTTATAATAGTAATAAGGATTTGTTTTGTCCTCTGATCACACTCTTGGCTTGAAATTTCGATTTTCAAAGTATTTCAATGAGTGTCCAATAAAGGTTTAAGAAGCTCTTCATTCCAATCTTTTCTACCATAACTGCATAGGTAAAGGCATAGAAAGGATTGGTTCACCAGTGTTATTTCTTTTTTTCAGGTAAAGAGGGAGTCCTGAGGTCTCACCTCTGTTTTTATATTCATTAAAGAACTGCTATTGTTTTCCAGGCACATGTTTCTGTCACAACAGAAACTCAACTGAATTAAACGGATGAATGAACGGATTGTGTTTGGTAATTAGACCTGAGGAATCTGCAGCTGAACACCTGCAAATATTAAAGCAGTAAATGCAATGACTAATGGCAACACTACAGTGCAGAATGGTGGTCTGATAACACGGTAAGATAAAAGACAGTTCCATCTTAGCAGTATTTTTGAATATCAACAATAATCGCATAGTGGCGCCATGTACAGTGCACAACCCATTTACAGAGGCCTCAATCCTGAACTCCCCAGACTTCTACAGAAACATCTCAGCGACAGCCTTTGAAATTCTTTTAATAATAGGATTAGTACTAACACCTACATCGGGCTTCCTATTGTTACTCTAGTGTAAATTTAAATGCTTCTGCTTCCCCTGAATGGAGTAGTGGGGAAAAAAAGAAGAGAACATGAGTAGCTTTTTGCCAAACAGATGAAAGAGGAAGTTAACATTAACATAGACTTGGATATTTTTACTGATCTGCAAAGCTATGTCTGAACGTTGTAATTGGTTGCTGTCTTCGGTGTGTGTGGCTGAAAGAGGAAGTGACTCTGATTGACTTGAAAAATTCTCAGCACTGCATGTGCAATCAGGTGATAATATCTCTGACTCATCTTGAGGGGAGGGAAGGAAGCCCGTAGTCATAGTTGGAAACTGATTCCTCTTTGAATACATAATACATGTGGCAGTCTAAGTGTTTGTGTGCGTGGGTGTGTGAATGTGTGGGGGTCTGTGTGTCTGCATGTGAAAGAAACTGAGCCGTCATAACGGTGATGTATACTATGATCTGTCTAACGGTAAACTGTAATGCAACGCATATCTTCTGTTCTATGGAGTCAAAAGAGAAAATCTGGGGGAAGACCCCACATTTTAGATTTTACAAATGTGAACCTCTGTGGGAGTTATAGGCTAAGATTTAATGATAAAAATGTGGCTTCAGTGGAACAATGTGTTTTAGGCAAACTGGTTAAGAAGTGTATTTAATTCTTCCTGCTTAACATTAAGTTTTCAAAGCTTTAATTTTTTTGTCATTTTGAGTCCCAGCTTAAAATATATGTCAAGATGTTGGGTTTTTACCCATTTTAGGCTTTGAAAATTAATTAAAAAAAAATTCTCTTTTGCTCATGATCATATTAATCTTCTGTCCAAATTTTATAAATATTTCATGAATGTTGAATGAAGTGATTAGATTTCACCTCTTCTAAAATATCACATTTTCAATAACTTTGAAAAGTTTTGTGGGGGTTTTGTGACACTGAGTGGCATTGATGATTCATTCTTCAGCATCTTGGTTTTCAACAGCTTTCCTTATGTCTCAATAGGGGAATCTTTTCAGTTGACATACATTTCTTTCTTTAAACTGCAGTTTAAATTCTAAATGCTCTGACTTTGATATTTTTTGAACACCCCATCATATCCTACAGCTGTGAAAATACAGTTAAAACTAATACCCCATTTACACTACACTTTTGAAACCGTGCTGAGAGCGGTCTGGGCACGGGTACCGAGATAACTGTTGAGTGTAAATGGCACGCAAAAATGAAGCGAACCGCGCCAGACACAACCGAACTGCACTAAACTTGTACTAGTTCATCATTAGGGCTCGGCGCGGTTCAGTTGTGGCTCAGTTCTCAGATAAGAGCGCATGAGCAGACCGCGTCATCTCCTTACAGTCAGCCTCCATAACAATGAAATTTCAGACATTCAAAAAAATACTAGCTTCCCTACCGTGCCACACGATTTCCAGTGATGATTCTGCTTAGCAGTGTGATGAACCTCAGCGTCTGTCATTGTTTCCTGCATCTGAAAGCCCTGATTAGACTATCATTTGTCGTATCCACTTCCCAAAAGCTGACTCTGTCAAGTAAATTCACTAAAGGCTGTTACTTTGCCAGACTCTCTGCGAAAATCACAATTATAACCAAACATAACTCCCTAAATGTTATATGCACCGCCATTTCTATTTGCTTGATCCGCTACGGCAGTAGCGCCTTAGATTGTCAGTAGGAGGTGACGAACCATGCCAGCCTGATAAGTAAATGGTCGTAAGGAACTGAGCGCAGCATGGTTAACTGATCCAAGCTCGGATCGAACCGGATCTGTTTCAGAGGCTAGTGTAAATGGGGCTATATTGTGCTGGGAAATGGCAGTCCCTCCAGCTGTAAGACTTGAAGCTCTTCACCAAAGTTCAATCCTTAAAATAACATTGCAGACACTCAAAAAGCTGGTTAGCAGTTATAAGAATTCAGCAGGAGACTAAATCTTGGCATTAGTACATGACTTAAAGCTCAACCGCACTTGGGTTTGTAGCAGAACAATGGCTTAAGTCAACCCAAAAACTCTACCTCTGAACAAAAAAAAAATATATGGTTTATTTCATGGTTTCATATAAAGTACCTAATTATTTGCTCCTTATTTTGTCAAAAAGTCAAAAGAAGAAATAGCTTTAAGTGCTGTTTAAGTCATGTTCTTTTAAAAAGAGCCAATAATTATTGGATCTAAGGTTAAATGTTGATTATAAATGAAGTTCTTAAAGTTGAATGATGATGGACCATTTTTCTTTAGGAAAGTACTGATAATATAGGAAACAAAAAAAAATAATAATCCTGTTCCAATACAGCAAGACTTGAATAAACCTTAAGCTAGTCAAACACTTGCTTCTTTCTACTGTCACCGCATGCTTGTTTAATATGAGAGATTGCTGCAAAGTTGTTCAGGGACCCAGAGTGAACCCAGTACCAGGTACTTGCAACCTTCTTCAAAAAGCAGGCGCCCTGACCTAACCTCCAGGACACCATTCTCCTTCACTTTTAAATAAATAAGCTTAACAAACTGATGCCAGCATTTTATCGACTTATATTATCCAGATAGTTGAAATAAGAACTTGAAGAATTGTCATAGATTTATTATATTTTAAAGAGCAGCAGTCTTTTGCAGAGATAGGCTTCGAAAGAGTAAAGATTTATCTTTCAGGAAATTTGGAGACAATACAACACTTTTTTTATGCACATGAATAATTTCTTGCTTATGCCAGCAGTCAAGGTGTCAGTGGTTTGGGGGTTTCTACTTCTTCTTGTCCTTTTTTTAACCTTAAAGAAGTAGACACTCCCTTTGTGTAGAGGTTGTATGTTTTTGTTTCTTGCTGCCCAAGCAAAAGGGATCACATTAACACAAAATAAATTGTACGTAGCATTAAAGATGTTGAGGTTTTTACCACAGCATCACTGGATTTCAAGCTAACAGGTTTAAAATCTTTGCTCCATCTGCAGAATTGAGTTCCACTCTAATGGAGAAGATGCAGGCCCAGGAAATGATGAGTGGCCTGAGGATACCAGAGATGGACGAGCTCGGCCAGTTCTTCCGCTCGCTGCCGACCTCCACCTTGGTGGGCATTGGGGCCTTGACAGCCGTGTTGGCGTACTGGTTTGCCACCAGGCCTCGACCCGTCAAGCCTCCCTGTAGTCTCCTTCACCAGTCTGAGGAAGTACCGGTGAGAGTTCCACTTATAGAAGATTGCTAAGCGGTCGTTTTGAAGATGCAACCTTTACGTGAACACAATCATAAGCAAGAGCTGTAAAACATTCACCGACACAATATGAGATCTCCTTTGTAAGTCCTGGAATGAAATAAGAAATGGAGGTTTAAACATTTCCTGGTTTTCGTATATTTTTCTTTTATCACTTTATCACTTTCCAGGTTAGTAATGATGATGCCTTTCTTAACAAACCCACATACCTCGGCTGGCTCAACTTTGGTTGAAATAATTTCACCTACGGTTAGTTAAACCAAAACCAGCCCATCCACACCCAACTTATTTTTTTACACCTTTAACCACAGAGATCTCACTGACGGTTGGGGTTGGCAGTTCTTGTTGTCAGTGTAAACCTCCCAGTGGCTTCCAGTTTCTTTGCCAACATTTAAACACTGGAAAAACAAAAGAAAATCTTAAATTAAGTGTATTTACCACAAATTTGAGTAGGTAAATGAGATAGTTTGCCAATGGAATTAGTATATTTGCTCTTAAAATAAGATAATTAGATAATATGCACTTGAAATAAGACAATGCAATTGTCTTTTCTTATTTTAGGTGTAAATTGTCTTGTTCCATTGGCAAGATGTCTCTTTTACCTCCTCAATCCAAGAACAAATGCACTTATTTTAAGAAAAAATGTTTAATCTAGATTTCGATATTTTCTAGTGAAGGTGTTTGAATCAGTGGAGCCACAGTGTAACAGGCCTACGGGACTTTGAATGACACCAGGCTACATTTTTTACCCGATGAGGGTAACAACAGATTTATAACCTGCCATTCTCTACAGTCTCATCAACCAGAATACTTTCGTAAAAAATTTTCATGAGAATAAACTCAAAATAAAAATAAAAACAATCTGCACGACTTCACAAACTATTAAACATAACTCTGTTAGCTCAGAAAATCTTTACAAATTAAGAATGGATTGCAAGGAAATGTATAGAAATCCTTCTCCACTCATTCAGCCATTATCTAAAGAAGCAGAGATATGAGTTTAATGTATTTTCTCGCTTCTGTTCCAGCATGAAGGTGGAGGTCGAAGATCCATGATGGGAGACCCGTCTAGGTTGCTGACTCATTACCATGACGATGCCAGGACCATGTATGAGGTCTTCCAGAGGGGTCTTCATATATCTGGTGGGTGAGACCAAGCTCATAGAAATTAGGTTTTTCACACTTTTTGCATATGGAAAGCTTCCATCAGAGCATTGTATTTGATGAACAACACAGCAAAGCATTTTTTAATAACATTTTCTTTTTTTGTCTCTTTTAATTAGACTTAGACAAACTTTATTGTCATTTTGTAAACACAGTGGGTATACAAACCAAAATTTGGTTTATACAGCTGTCTGACAGTGAATGAGCAGCAGTTAAGCAGTGAAAAGGAACATTTCCATTCATAAAGTGCATCAGTGATCAAAATGTAAACAGAGTTGGAGAGAGGTGGTGCAAAAAGGCATTGATGTGGAAGTTCAGAACAGTTTAAAAATAAATAAATAGATATGGTGCAAAACGCAGTAAAAAAACATTTCAGTTGAAAAAAATTAGAAGATTCACCATGTGGTGGAAGTATGATGTTATCAGTGTGGTGAAGAGTCTCGATTTGTGACTTGATTTAGAGTTTTTTTCCAGCATTTTAGCAGAATGCATGCCCATATAATTAAGCTGCTGTCACTTTGTAAATTCAAAGAAAAAAGAAACATGACAAAACATTTAACATTTTCTTTAACAGGAAAGAGATCACCCTTTTAACAATTTTTTTTTTTACTTTAAAGTTTAGTTCCCCCACATATTTACAAATCCAGACATGGATGTTGCAGCCATAATATAATTATAATACGTCAGTGGTAGCACATATAGAAATATAATATCTTATGGACAGAAATCTGGAAACTCTTCAGGTTATTAATTAACAAAGTAAAGTGATTTCGAATAGTTTAAGCTTTCCCACAAGCAAAAATATTTACTTGAGAGTTCAGAACCAGAAAAAAGATTAGTAGATAAATTTACTTATTATTCAAATTATTAGGATTGGACCAAGCATGGCTGGCTAAAAAAAAAAAAAAACTTGATAAATGATAAAAGCATGTTACAGTATGTAAATATTATTTTTATTGTGTTAACCTTGTTATGTCTTATAGTACCCAGCTGTTTTCAGCGCCTATATTTGAAATATTTATACGTGAATTTAAAAGAATATTGATTTGATTTGTTTTTTTTTCTTTATTCCAAAGGTGACGGACCCTGCCTGGGCTCTCGACTCCCAAACCAGCCCTACAAATGGTTGTCCTATAAAGAGGTTAGGTCCAACAGTTAACAGGAAAATAACAAACCTTTTCCAAGTCTGCACTACTGTCCCTCTTTTCTGCTTTCTTATTTTAGTTTATACTTATTTCATTTGCTTAATCCATTGGTTCTTTTAGTGCTTTCTGCAGCTTCCATCTTTCAGTCTTTTTTTTTCTTATCTATTTTCCTCAAGACTTTCCTTTTCTGCCATTTCTTTCCCTACAATCATTAAATCAATCCATCAGAAAAGAGTTTTAAAATGATTAAGTAAAACCAATAGAACTGCTCATTGATGGGAAAAAAATAAATACACTTAAGTGTCTATAAACTATGAGCCATGATGATTGAACAGATTTCCCATGTCATCTTATGATCTACAAATTAGCAGACTTGATTTTTATGTTTCAGGTGGTTGTGAAAGTAATGTGTAGAATAATTATAGCACTCATTTCAAGCAATAAAACCTGCAAATTCAGAGCAACTATCTAGTCTTTCAGGTACGCTCACTTTTGGCCACGCCCATCAGGTCGTATTTTTACAGCGTGGCTAAGCCAATTTAGAATATGATGCACACATTGTCATTTCACTTGATTTACTTACTGATGGTTGCTGTAAATCTATCAGTCATGTTTTGAAATGCTTGTGATGAGGGAAGTGTTCAGTCAACAGTTTACTGCTTGGCTTTGTTACAGATGCTGTGGATTCATCAACTAAAGATATTTCTGTTCTGTTAAAAAATGTGTGCAACACTCTGACTTTAGTTTAAGGAAGAAGAATCAGCCAACACATATTTTTGCCTCCTTATTTCAACAAAAATATGCTGTCATGCAGCTCCCTTTAAATGTATTGGTTAAATGGATTGTTAAAGAGGGGTTAAAGGAATTCTGTATTATTTGCTGTAGCAGATTTGGAACGATGGTTGTTTTAACTTTGTTCTGAGTTGGAATATGGACATGTGTAGTTAGGCGTTTTTTTCTTTTTTCTAATAGCTATTTTTGACCTTTGAAGGTCTAGTTTACATGACACATTGTCCTGTCTTTCCTAAATCACAGCTATTAAGGAAAATGGTCTCAATTTCACATTATAATTTCACCTCAGGGATAAAGGGCATCATGGGAATAGTTAGACTTTCCCCAATTATGGTTAAAAAAAAATAACTAAATAAAAAAAAAATCTTGTTGTGGGAAATTTGTTCCCTTACTGAAAAAAATAATCAAATAAATGTTATCTTTATAACATAAAAACATATGGATTATCCTACCACAGTTACTTCATTTCAAATTAAGTTTTTAGATATCACATGAGGCCTGTCAATAAATGTCAAAGGTGCTACATATTTCATTTTGTCCTTTTGCTTTGAGACCTGTGCGCTAATTTCCACGACATAAAATAAAAGAATTTCTTTACATAACACTGAATACTAGAAAAAAAAAATAAAGCCTAGGTTTAATATCACCAACCAGGGCTGCCACTAACAATTATTTTGCAAATTGATTAATCTGTCGATTATTTCTTCAATTAATCAATTAATTATCAGATAGCAAACGGTTCCTTTAAGATTCTTTTACTATATTAAACCAGGTGAAACAAAAAATTTTCACCTTGATTATTTCTGGATAGAGCATATTGGCAGACAAATGCTTTATTTTTTTATCTTAACTGCAAAATCTTTATATATTTTTGGTATAATTACTGTTCTATGTCAGTGGCTCTGTCAGCTAAAGGCATGTTTTAGAGGCTCTATACTCCAGTTAACGATGAATCGTTTACTAAATTAGTTGACGTTTATTTAAATAATCGATTAATCCCGATTAATCTGATTAATTTTTCTTTAGCCCTAGTACCAACAAACAGCTATTTCTCATGTAGGATTGCCAACATGACTTTTGTTTATAGGAATGGATCATGTTTAATAGACTCGAAATATTTGTTATTACCCCATCATTGGGGCATTCGGGTGTGTCATTGGCAAAGCGAAGTGGTAAATGAAAGCCTGCAGTTCCACACAAGACTTAAAATAATCAAGTGAAAAAAAGTCAAAAGTAGAGTAAAATGCATTTTAGAAAACAAAACACCATGCAGTTATTAAACAGCGTACAAACCAGCAGTCGGTTAACGTGGAAAAGCTGTGCAAATGACATCACTGATGGAAAACACAGCTAAAAGTAGGACTTTATGAAGACTTTAGATAAGAGTCAATCATTGCTGTTGAAATAGATTCATAAATTTTTTTTTCTTCAGTTTATTTTTAGATTCTGTCTGTAGTTTATAGTCCCTGGCATCATTTCAAAAAAATTTGATATCACGACAGGTACACATGATGATCCTTTGTTTCCTGTCGGCATTTCCAGAAACTGGGCTCAAATTTAGAGTTTTTTTCTTTAGCTCAGACATGATTTGTTTTTTTTCCCATCATGAAATATCAAAGAGATTTCAACATCCCAGCAAGTATGATCTAATTTTTTTTTTTTCTTAAGTTGACACAACGTCGACATTTTTCTGTGATATCCTGTCTCTCTGGAAAATGATGACTGGAAGAATATTTACCTTGTGTCTCGCTTTTCCCAGAGCAACAGCACAAATCCAGACCTGCCTGTTTTTACATTTAGAAAGAGGCCTTTCTGTAAGGGAATCAGTGTGAAATGAATCAAATGGGGAAAATAGAAAATAGATTTAATGTTCACCTTCAAATTATCTCCTTGTTTTGGTTTCACAATTACAGTGAGTTATAGGGCAGTCTATCAGTTTACAGATTGACTTCCATATTAGTTTATTTCATTACAGAAATGTTTCAATCCCTGGTACCAAATTTATTTAAAATATCTTTACCATAACAGCAATCCTAATTGATCATTATGAAAACATGTCATTTGCATTAGTATTTTCTTCATTTTTTTTCAATCTTTTTCTAACCAAATATCCTCTCCTCATTTGACAGGTTAGTGCCCGGGCAGAGCATCTGGGATCGGGCCTTCTGCACCAGGGCTGCCAACCCAACCCCAGCCAGTTCATTGGAGTGTTTGCACAGAACAGGCCTGAGGTGACTGCTCCTCTGTCCTCTCCTATCGTCATACATCTCTTGTGATTTGCCTGATTATTCTTATAAGAACTTTAAACTTATGAAAGAATTTTGCCTTGTCTGATTTCAGTGGATCATCTCAGAGTTGGCTTGTTACACCTACTCCATGGTGGTGGTTCCGCTTTATGACACGCTTGGTGCAGACGCTATACGGTTTATCATTAACACTGGTAAGAACACACACAATCAAGCCATATAGAAACTTAAACTCTAATCATTGCAGTTTGAAATACACCTACGTAGCTTCATTTCTAATTTCACCTCAACTTTAATAAATAATATAATGTCTTACATTTTTTTTTATTTTGTGCATATATTTAAATCAATTTAGAAACAGATTTTGCCTGCATTAAAGCCCTAACATTAGCCCAAATTTTCCTTAAATAAAAGAGACTATATACTAACGTAACAATGTCATAGACCAAGAAAATCCTATTGCTGCAGCTGCAAATAGCCTTTAGAAAGTGAAGTGCTTGGGTTTTATAGAAAGCAACCCTTCTAGATACCTGAGGTGGTTGTTGCACATGGATACTATTTGTAAAGCGGCCTAGCAATGTTCTTCCTGCAGCCACTTATGAGGTTCAGCCTTCTCCAAGTAAGCTGCTCTGCTTATAAACCACCATTATTTAGTATATTTTGTGCACATCCTTTTTGTTGGCTCAACAACAAAACAGGAAAAGTCCAGATAGCAAAAAACAATAAGTTGGACAGAGAGATTCATCAGACTGAGCTTCCTTCCATCCACCAACCTGAACAGATCTGGTTCCAAAAGAAGAGCGGCTAACATCGCTCACTGACTTCCCTCTTTTGTTCAGTAGGAATAAGATAGGCAGCACATATGCATTCGTACATCACACCATAGTCCTTGTTTAACCATGTCTTTACATCCCTTCAAGCGAATATTTACATAGTTTACAATGTGAGCGATGAAAAAACTGGAGTCAAATCCCTCATTTGCGCACAAATTTCACCATTATAGTTTATTGTGATTATGAAGGTGTTATGAAATGTTTAAAAGCCTTATACCCTTTAAAGGAAAAAAAGAGATTAGATATATGGAAAAGGAACCTAGCTTAAAGGGCCTAAAACATATTGCATTGATATTTTCATCATGCTATCTAGGGCTGAAACAATTCATCTGATTAATTGGATTAATCGATTATTTTAAATACTGCGATGGACTGGCGACCTGTCCGCCTTTTGCCCGTAGACAGCTGGAAATAGGCAACAGCACACCTTGTTTGGGATAAGCGTGACGGAAAATGGATGGATGGACGGATGGATGGATGGATGGATGGA